GTCAGAGTGAAAAAAGCTGGATCCTTGACTCTCAGATACAGTCGATGCCAAAATCAGTTGACTATACCCGAAAAAGAACAAGGGTGAGAAGTAAATTGAAAGGTAAGTGTAGTCCCCTATTGACACTTAGCTATGCATGATGCACTGTGCTGCAGAAAAGCAAATGGCTGGTGATGGTTTGAGAGTGTTCAGCCAAATCCTGGTCCTCCTGAGTGGGAGGGAGCAGACTCAAGGCTGACAGCAAGACATGCCCTGAGGAGGAGGTGCATTGTGCACTCTTGTGCTTGAGCTGGGCTCTGGTTCTCTTCCCAGAGTGGCACTGAAATACCTGGGTGGAAATCTGGCACTTAAACATTTGTGTGGGTGCAGCCCTCTGTGTGTTGATGGTCCTGAGGTCTGTGTTGAAGGCCCCTGAGATCCTGAGCTGATGGCTGTGTTGGTGCTCTTGAACACAACAGGAGGAAGATCTCTCTAAAGTTACCTCACCTCTTCCCCATAACTTTCCTCATCTCCCCAGAAACATGATTGACTCAGCAAAATAAACCTTTAAAAAACTCACAGTTTGCAGACCATGGCACTCTGCTCCCCTTTTTGTACACTGATAGGTCAATTGTCCTCTTAAAGATAATCACATTTGATTTTGCAAATCACTCTTCTCAGACCTGACTAAGAGCAAATCTCCCTTGCAACCCGCTCCGTGGCCATCTACTGCTGTGACCTCCAAATGCAAACTAAATTGCAAAGAATGTTTCTGTCCCATTCATGGAGAGTGATGTTTTCTGAGGCAGCCGTTGGATTCTGTGGGGATGAAAAAGCAAAAGAAAGCTGAGGTTGAAATTATACTTTATGCTGTGTTTCCTTGGGAGTTGTTCTTGCTCCAGTGTCAGCCCACATATCCTGCCTAGGATTTAGGGACCATCAGACAAGATGCTGAGCCTGCCTTTTTTTATTGGCTGCTCTGTATGCGGTGAGTTGTGTATGTTTGCATCATTGTATCTGGCCTTGTTAGAGAGAGGGCTTTGTGAGTAAAAGAGTGTTTTTTGAAACTTATATTAAGTTTTGTGGCATTTAATCTTGCAAATGCCCAGAAAACCAAACTCAAAAGGTTTGCATCGTGCCTAACGCAGGTAACAGGGTAAAGTACACACTTAGCTTTGTAACCAGGTAAATTTTTTCCTTGCAGTGCTTCCAATGTCTTCTGCAAGTAGTGGCAGTGACCACGAGTCAAAGAAGGTAAGGTGATGACATGCTTAGGTGTCTCAGATTTAAAAACATTTGTGTAAAGTCTGTACAAATGAGTGAGACTTAAATAAATTGGTGCTATCTTCTCAAATGTTCTGTTAGACAGATTTGTCTAAGCGTTGCTGAGACTGTATTGGTCTACCACAGGAGGTCTTAAGAAAACATGGGAAACTTCACAGAAACAACTGTGCTTGAGTCCTGAGCGTGTTGTCCTGGAATGATATTTACCTTGGACAAGTGAAAAATGGGATAAGAAATGCTTGATGTGACACTTGGATGATGCAAGCATCACTCCACAGCTGCCTATCCTGCAGAAATCCCAGCTGGGCCCTACAAGGCTGTTGTCCCCATGCTGTCCTCTGCCCTGTGTTGTGCAGTGCCTTGGGAAAGCTCACATTCACCTCTGCTTTGCTGGCAATTTTCAGAGCTTTTATTCCAAGCCCTGGTTCGTTCACCATCCTTCTCAACTTTGAACTATAGCTCTGGGAAAACTAACCATGGATTTTGTAGCAATGAAGGAGTTGGTGGATCAGACACACATCAAGCAAATAAAATTACAATTCAGTTATATCAGGCTTTTTCAGTGCCCAACTGTTAAATGCCACATATCAAATATTTTGATTGAGATATATATTTGAAATACAGAAAGTTTTGAAAAAAATCTCTTCAGAGTGGGTAATTGTATTAAAAGCTTTGATTTTCCTCTGGAAAATTTTTCTTTACTCGCTTGACTATAATGCTTCTATTCTGCTTATTAAAAACATCAAATGTTTAGTTATCAGCTCTGATGACTAAAGGAAAAAGTGATGCATGCATTGCACTTCAGGGCACAGGTCTCCTTCAGTGTTGGAGAGAGCCATCAGTATGTTAGTGCATATTTCAAGTGTATCTCTGCTCTTAGTGTATTTAAAGAAACAAACCAACCAACAAAACCTCTCCCTCCAAAACAATAGCCCAAGCCCTTAGTTCTGTAGTAATGTTTAAATAAAATGAACGCTTAAACTTTGTTTTGTTTCAGGAGGGAGAATCAAGGCAAAGAACTAAAAAGGAGACACTAAGGAAAAAAAGCAGATTTAGCACCAAGGGAGGTGACTTACCTACAGTGGATCCTGCTGGTATCTCTATTTTAATCTGCTTCAATGCATTAGCAAAGCTGTTTTGATATGTATGGGTCTGTACTTTTTGGGTTGGTTTTCCTTTTTGATTTTGCTGTTTGCATTCACATTTTCTTCATAAGCATTCTGCCTGGTGATATTTTTTGGAAGGGCTATGGGGGGTGAGTATATATATAGATATAGATGCTCTTATGCAGGCAGAACATTAGCTGGGCCTAGTGAGAGGTAAAGGAAAGAGTCTAATTGACAGCCACAAAGAAAACAGCCTTTGGACTGAGTTTGAGCCCCCATCTGTTGTTCCCTGTATGAGGAGATAAAGGAGAGGGTGGAGATTTTTTCGTTGTTGTTGTCATTAAATTGAGGTTCCTAGTCAACGCAGGATTCAACCTCTGTTGCCTTTGTCATTTGAC